CACACACACAGACACACAGACACACACACACACACACACACGCGCACACACACACACAGACACACACACACACACACACACGCGCACACACACACACAGACACACACACGCATACACACACACACAGACACACACACACACACACACACACACAAGTCTTTAGGCATTTTTAGTTTTTTGATTGCACTCGCAGATTTTTAAAATCAAACTGAATTGACTTTATTATCATTCAGACCATATAGCAAGGAGTACACAGCTGAATGAAACTGCCTTTCTCCAGCTCGATGCATGTCCATGGACATAAGACAAGTACAGTGAGTTTCCCCTTGTGGGGACCAAAAAAATTGACATTTGTACCTCACAATGTAATATATATATGACCCACACACACATACTGCATAACACTGCATGCGTTTGTGCAGTTTGAGTGTGAACAATCACAGGTGGCTAATTCAGGTCCAGAGAGTAGAAGTCCAGACCCAACTGGATGGTTGAAACAAAATCTTGGTCTGGACTTTTAGTCTCTGGACCTGAACTACTTACCTCTGGACTCTCTGATGACCATCTAATACGTTTAGTAAATGTTCTACTTGCTGTGAATTGCATGCAATTGAGTTTAATACAATTGCTTTCCTCATGATGCTTCCTCCAGAGCTTATAGCATGTAAAGTGTCAACATTACATGAAAAATCATGATCAGGGCAAACAGCATGTGCATGCAGAGATCAGAAACTCCCAGGATGCCTTGCTAAAGCTTCTGGCCCCGGGGTTACCTGGTCAATGACCCAGGGGCTGGGGAAGTGGCCGGTCTCGGAGGGCTGCCACCAGCGCAGGCGTGTTGCGGGGCCCCGGGCGCGCAGCGGCACCTCCAGCGCCACCAGGCGACCCTGGTTGCTGCTGTTGCTGAAGTGGAACTCCTGTAGCAGCTCCCAGGAGAGGCTGCCGTCTGTGGAGAACTGCAGCAGCACGGGCCGCGAGCGGGGGTCTGGGGGGGCTTTACCGCAGCCCAGGCGCAGAAAGAACTGCACGAACCTGCAAGGAGGCATGGCTAAGCCAGACACAGGCCTCTCTGGGCACACATCCCCATCTGCACCCACATGCACACACACCCACACACACGTGCTACCTGGCGTTGGACAGATCCAGGTCGACGGTGACCAGCATGCGCAAGCCGTCCTCACTGAAGAACAGGTGGTTCCCGCTGCTCATGATGCCACACTTCCTGGAGGGCTTCCCCCCACTGACCAACTGGAACTGCTCCATGTCCACAGCGCCCCCTGCAGGTGCACGACGGTACATATGAATATATGGCTGAAGAAACATTACAGGCACAACAAAGAGTACAGTCGGGATTTTGATTCCCCTTCAGACTGGACGAGTTATGCTCAGACCTGGTGACATGCCAGGCACACGAGAGGACAGTATACTGAAGACACAAACGCGTTTGGTAACTGAACCCAGACCTGAGCTAAGAGACAGCTGGAGGTCACTGGAACCTGGAACTAAAGAAAAGGGGTAGGCAATCAGTCCGCAAAGGGCCAGTGTGTTTGCAGGTTCCTGTAGGTCAGCTGTTCCATCCCAGGTGTGAGGACTCTTCGGCCAATCAGTCCGCTAATTAGTGACCTAATTAGGGAGTTGCAGTGAAAACCTGCATACACAGTGGCCCTTTCGGGATAAGATTGCTCACCCTTGCTGTAGTGGATGGGCTGACACTGACTGGTCAGAGGTACAGGGATGGTTCTGGAGCTCCTCTTGGGCAATCTTTGACCCAACAAAAATACCCCAAAAGCCCAACAAACTACCACAACCTTCTTCTGAGGGCCTGAGCTCCTGTACCTTCAAAGTCCTCCTTGAGGAAGTCAGGGTTGGGGGTGTTGGGTTTGGAGCAGTCTTCTCCAGTGTAGCCAGGGTCACAGGCACAATGTGCGCCTTCCACACACAGCCCGTGCCCCCCGCACGTGTCCTGGCACTGCGGCCCGATGTACACATTGTCCAGGGCCCAGGTGGAGGGAGGGGCATCGCCTACGTAGAAGCCCTGGTACCAGCGGAACCGCACCGATCTGCAGGGGGCAGTCAGGAGTAGCAGAGTCAGAGCTTTTATTCACAATCACAATTTTTAATCATAAGTTATGACTTTTAATCACAATCTCAATTTCTCTCTCTGGCTATCTGCCTCTGTGTCTCTACCCATCTCTATGTCTTTCTCTCCCTCTTTTTTCTCTTTCCATCAATCTCTCTCTCTTACCCGCAGAGGCGGAGCTTGCTGAAGTGGATGACCTCTCTCCTCCAGCTGGGGGCGCTGCCGGCGTGGTAGATGCTGGCGGGATGCAGCTCCGTGGAGCACAGAGAGCTGTGCTGGGCGTCGCCAGGACACAGCGGCACCAGCAGGTGCCAGGAGGAGCCGAAATCTCGCGAGAACTCCAGCCGCACGGGGCTGAAGGTGGAGCTGTCCCCCGTGCAGCCAACATTGATCTAAAACAGGAAGAGGTTCAGAGATGACGGCAAGAAACCAGAAACCCACACTGGGAAAGACACATGCTCCCACTTCCTGCTTAAAGCAGACAGCCTGTCCCAAGTCAGGCACTGTCAGCTTGCGCCTTTCCTTTTGTTACATTGTTACACTGCATTTATCCAAAGCAAAATACTTTTGTTTTTGTTAAATAGCAGGGTCAGACGGTCACTGGAGCAACTGGGAGTTAAAGGGACTGGCTTGGGAGTTCAACAGTGACATCACCCTGGGATCTGAACCAGCAACCTTCTGATCACAGGCACAGCATCCTAACGCGCTGAGCCAAACACTGTCCTATTTCTTTCACCCCCCTCTCTTTTGAACCCCTCCACTCTTGATTATTACCAAAAATCAAACCAAAATTCGAATGTGTCTGTTCTTCCTCACTCAGCCAGGAAGCCGGATCAAAGCCGGCGTGCTGACGGCGACCCGGGGATCCGTGCCTCCCTGAAGCTGAGCAAAGCAGCCCTGCTGCCCTGTCTCTGGGTACCTCGAACTGCACGATGGTGTTCTCGCTGACGTCTATGTCCCTGGTGGTGATGGAGTGCTCCCCTGGTTCGCTGGACAGGAACACCATGGCCGAGTCGTCCTGCCTGCACACAGGATCAGTCAGATGACATTCACATTACTGAGGGCTTCTTCACACCACAGAGCGAGGACCTTGAGCAAAGCATGACTGTTTCTCCATAGTGGAACCAAAAATGCTCCACTTATGTTACTGTAGATAAACTGAGATGCTTAACCAACAGGAAAAAAAAAAATCTAAGTTCTATTCAGTTACACGCACATCGCCTCTTTTTGGTTGGGGCAGTAAGGCCCTGTGTTTCCCCCAGGGTAAAAAAGCCAGCTGTGCTCCTGAGGTCCTCCTTCAAAGCTGTCTGTCAGATGGTGGGGGCTGTGCAGGGAGTTTCCATCGATGATGATGTCATCTATCACCCATACTTCCTCCTTCTTTCCTGCAGAGGACACAGAACTTCAAACAGACTGTCGTTTGACCTTCAAACAGTCTATCGAAAACACCATGGATCTTGCTGTTGCCCTAGTGTCATATAAACCTCTGCATCATACAGACCTTAGCAGAGAATCTCACAGACTGTGGCTGTGTCCACATTTAGGGGCTGCATCCTTCTAAGGCATTTAAAGGCCGAATGCATCACAGCGACACACAAGGCTGTCTCATTTCAAAGGCTCCTTCAAATGTGGTCTAGAAATGCGTCATTCTTTTGCCGAATCATGGAGGATCAACACGATGGATCCTTACAGTCCAACAAATCCCAAGATTCATTGCGTGGACCTTCAAAAGAGGCAATACTATGTAGACCGCGTTCTTCGAAAGATGAAGTCCTTGAATTCGGACACAGCTCATGTGTGGTCCAAGTATGAGCCTGTATCTCTGACATAGGTTGCCATTTGTGAAAGACAGACACATGGACCAATCAGCATGAAGTAACAAGGTCAGCAGGTAAAACCCTGGAGATACGAGAGGCTTAGGTCTTTAGTTCAGGGGACTAATCTGCTTGATTCAGCCCCCAGTTGTGTCCGAGCTTGTGCTACCCCCCTACCATTATTATAAGGCTGCCACAGCCGGAAGCGAGTGGCGTTGGTCTGGGCGCTGTGGGGGAGGGACAGGTGCAGGAACAGCGTGTCCGTGGACGTGGGGAAGTAGAACTCGTCCAACAGCAGCCAGCTGATGCCTCCGTTCACCGAGAACTGCAGGAGCACGGAGTGGGACCGCTCGGGGACGCCTGTGCGCACACGCAGAGACACATGCTGAGAGTCTCGCTCCCACACCCACCCGGGGGCCACCAAGACACACGCATGCACACTGTGGGAGGGTGGCCCACCCTTGGTGATGAACTTGAAGGAGAACTGGATGTACAGAGCGCTGGTGCAGTCCAGGTCCTGGGACACCAGCATGCGGAGGCCCTCCTGGGGGGGGGGGGGAGCAATCCAGGGCCACGGGGTGGGACGAAAGGGAGCGTGGAAGGGATCATGAAGGAGAGAAGCTGTCAGGCGATTTTCAGTGAACCAAAGTGCTCAACGTGAACAGTAACAATTAAAGTAGTAGTACACAGTGTTCGTCAGAGATTGTGGAACACAAATATCAATTACATGGGTGATTACCCCCCCCCCCCCCCAGTGGTGAGATAAAAGTCTTCGACACTCCAGTGGGTGGGATTACTGTGTGCTGTCAATCACCGGCTGGTCATACCCACTTCTCATTGGTCAGTGAATGTGATT